CAAATGAGAAACCAAATCAACAAACATGCCCTGAACTTGTGGTGTGGCCCAGCCAAGAACCCAATCTTTCAACATAATTATCCCCAAGCTTTAAATATGTCACATGTCCCACTATCTTCCCATATTCAGTATTTTTATGTATTGGTCTACATATTACCCAGCTGAAAGCACATTTTTTCAGTCCATCTGTCACTCTGTCCATGTTTTTTCATGTTTTTTTCCACGTCACTGGTGATGGCCGTGACCAGCGCGATCAGGGCCACTTCCACCGTGATGGGCACCCGGCGTCGGAAGGCACTGCCGTCCTTTCGGAGCTCACTGACCTGTACGGCGAGTCGTAAAAAAGCACCACAGAACCAAGAAATCCTATACCAGTAACAGAGTGATGTGATGCCGTACTTTTCCATCTTTAGTGGTGATTGCTATATAATGTGACCAGATAATTATAATTAATTAATTTTATAGATTAGGCCTCTCTCCATCACAAATAACCGGTCTGCTAAGACTTGTATACCATGTCAAATGCAGATTAGGTGATATATGACTATCTCAATTCTACGTTTACATAAACATGCATATATGCTGCATATGTGGAATCATATCGCAATATTGATATTGTATTGCGTATAATTACTGGGCTACTGGCCAAACCCAGCACAATAAAAAATCAAACACCACTGGAAGTGGGTGGTTTAAACTCTTGAACGATCCGTGACCACATTATATTGGCGACTGGACATGGTCACCCTAATGAGGAATAGTTGGGATATAATGGATTGATTAGATTTGATTAGGATATATCAAGATGCACTGCGATGGCTATCAAAACCCTGACAACCAATGGGTGTTCTGGACTTGGTGATTCCTAGTGAAGAATCTCCACTTAGACAATGTTGGTGGCCTGGTGGCCCAATTGTTTTCGCGGATGGCTAAAGATGCGGATGGGTTGTTGATGAATGTTGACGATGGTACCACTTCAGGATTTCGATCATGGCCATGAACATTGGCCACTTAGGGCATGGCCATCAAACCATGCGACCTGCCACCAATGCTGACCTGCATGTTGAGGTGCACAAAGCTCGCCCCAACCAATCCACCCAGGCAGCCCATCAATAGAAACACAGGATATTCAGCAAGAGCTGGCTCCTGTGCAAGTGTTCAGGACCCTTTTTGATCGAGGCACTGTACCATAATGGCTGCCATACTTTGGGAGATTTTGGGAGTATCCCCTTAGCCCGAAAACATGGGCCGTATGGTGGATACCTCCAATCTAGATACAGTACCTGAAATAGCCATCCAAAAATCATCGAAATGGGCTTGTCTGAGAAAACGAATGGGATACCCTAAATCCACTGGTTTATCATCATTTTCCGCATTTAAACAGTCATTTTTGGGGGTTATATACCCCGTTTCCCGACACACCAAATTACCACAGTTATTGTTTTTGCCGGGGCTTCTCAGAGGGTTTGCCCCAACAGCCACAGTCAATGGTGATCATAATCTTTGAAGCCCGAAGCGCGTTATGCAGCAATGTTCGAAATGCTGAGCCAAACTTGCGGATAAGTTGTTACGGTGGTCCATAGTGGTCCCATGTTTAGACACCATGTGACCTACTTTCCATATCTTTTCATGGTCTCTTTGATGTCTCTTGTAGGCCATCCGTTGCAACTAGTCAGGTTTCTCTCGTCTCCTGGGGATAGTACACCTCAAAGAGGGTCAGCTTCCCCGTGCCCAAGATGTCGTACCATGACAGTGCCAGCGCTGCAACGACTGCAGCGAAGAAAGCGCGGATCATGGTGCTCTTTGGAAACCTCTCGCGCTGGCTTCACATATCCATCATTCCATCTCGCTGTCAGAAGGCATCTGCAACAACTTTTTCCATGTTTAATCAAACAACCTATACGAAAGATCATCCCAAAACCTGCCTTGGGAGTCTTCCCTGCAAGCCACCACGACCCCGCAACTGGTGGACCCATGCTGACCATATGGCTATGGTTCAAAGCTATCGACCACAAACGGACGGCTTACAATACGCACAACAGGACAAATGCACACACGTCAAATTGGCACCCCATGTTTATCATGCTTGAGATTCTGGGTTGCCAAATCTCTATTTTGTGGCCAAGAATGATCAAGTAATCCCCTTGCACCCACTTAAGTCAGTTAAATCATTTTTACTAGCCATAATCACATGCTGTTTTCACCAAAAAAAAACTTGCACAGCTGTTTTTCAAAAACCCATTAAAAAAACAGCATTTTTTCCGTATAATAATTAATCCGATATGTCCTACTGTAATCCAAACATGTCCAACCCATCCAGGGTCAATTCTAATGATTCACTGAGCTGAAACGTGCGGCCAGCTTGATTCTCAATCAATATTCCCATTCCAGTGAGGTCATGATGTGAGACCACTATAATTCTACATAATCTATATAATATACGTATAAGAACACTATTAATAATAATAATATACCTAAATATACCTAGTCATTTCATATCATTTCACATTCCCAGCTATAACCTAAACCATATATAAATTTATAAAACATAAATATAACATTATAATATACATTATATAACCATAAGCCTAAACCTAACCTCCCAACCGCCTGGTGGAGACCTCCTCATAGGAGAAGAGCACGCCCCCCACGGGGGCCCCAAAGGCCACCGAGACCCCGGCCGCCGAGGCCACAGAGAGCAGCTCCCGGAAGCGGCTCTCGTTGCTGTAGCGGGCCGAAAAGCCGCTGCAAACCTGGCGCCGTGACGTGGCTGAGAAGCTATGGATAGCTGATGCTGATGGGAAGCTGATGGAAGCTGCGAAGCCCCCGAGGTTTTGATGGGGGGTTAGACGGTAGTTATAAATTGTTCTGCGCAAAATGGTGGTATATCAGTACTTTTTTTTTAGAGCTAGAATGACCGGATTGAAATGAAAGGACAGATCAATTGTCAGGCTGGCAGTTTCTACGGTTGACGACGATCGGCTGGAAAAGGTGGTGGCTAGAGTGGTTTGCCTTAAAGTGGGTTCGATAGACATACGCTATAGTATGAATAGCTGGGATTCTAAATGTTCTACAGTTGGATCCAATACATCACATTTGGATCGCAATATATCATCAATCGATCAAATGTCCTAAATCAATCGCATGACGGATCTTCAGATTCAGAATTGCCATTCGTGTTTCTCCGAGACACGTTCGCCCAGCAGCAAGCAATGTGCACCGTTGGACCCTCCTTGCCCAAGGCCAAACCAGATGAGACCGAGAGCATGAGCCCAATGACCTTCACCACCAGGGTCTGTGTAGACAAGGTGTCCTCAAGTCTCTGCCAGCTGCTGGATGTGGCATTGTGGAAAAATGTGGAAAACATCTGCTGTAGGTGGCAAGGATTATATACATATCCCATTTAAAGCAGCAAATTATCAACCCACTTGCAAGAGCTGATACAATGGTGATACGTGGCCGCACAGGAAGCCCTCTTAACCAATGGCCTCATGGAATGCAACTGTATCTCCAGTCTCGAGTCTCAATGCATTCAATGGGGTCGGGTTCCAAAATAAAGGTATCAAATGGTATTAAAACATTTTGGAACCTTATGTGCCTTATTGACCTAGCTGTCTGACTTTACATTGCTGAATAGAACATGATAGAACATGGGTTCTGCATACTCAATGAATCAATGTTAGTAAATCAACATCAAGTAGACTGTAATCACACGTGCATATACTCTCCCACCAAAAACATCCAAGAGCTAAGAGTTATCAATAATTATATATGATTATCATAGATTTTCAAGATGTTGGAATCACCTCCAGCTGCTTCAAAGCATCTTTCATCACAAAGCCGCCCAGGATGGTCTTGACCTCCTGAGCATCGTTTCTTCCATCTCTCGCCATGAGTTCATTGGTTGAGGCATCAGGGAACCTCCATGAATTGCCCATCTGTTGTTGCGGGAAAAAAAAAGAAAACATCAACCTACAAACCTGGTGATCCAACTTGGTAGTGTTCACCCCACCCATTATCACCCATTTACAAATGATTTGTCTACACATAGCATGTGCTCAATACGCAATACATTCAATTTGTCGTCTGCATATATAAATATATAGGCGATTACATATTTTAAATAATATTGATGATTACATATTTATTGTACAGTATTATATATATATAATTGAAACCTATGACATTTCCATTGCCAGATTTGTATCCCACAAGGCACTCAGAACCTTCCAAGGAACTGGAATGCCACTGCCCCTGGCTGCTGGAGCAAATTGCTTCACCAAAACGGCGGAAGACGTGGCCAATAGGACGCTAAAAAGAACCTGCAGGGCGTCTTTTTCGACGTGGCGAGGATAGACGTGCCCATCATCGTCCCTATTACCCTATTGTGTTTTCATGATACAAGGTGGTGCTCCAAAACGCTAGCTACAGTATATAAGTTGGTTTACAACTCAAATATAACTTGGGTTTATGGGAATGATGGGTATAGTATAGATAATTGTAGTTAGAAGGCCCTACTGCCAGCTACTGATCCATATGCTCTCTGAGAATGTGCTTGGACCCCCAAGAAAACAGCCCCAAAATACAATCTCAGACGGTGTCTGGTGATGTCTGGTGGTAATATACTTGACCAGAAGGAATGCACCCGCGCATCTAGCGTCGTCTGTTTCTTTGGTGTCGACAAGAAGGCCGGCGACGACATATTGCAATGCTGCAGAGGGACATAAGCACCAAAACGACGCCAGTTCATAGGATTTGCCTGCATGCGGAATCCCATGAAGCGACAACGTGTTTGTTTGGTGCAAGCATTGTCAGTCTGTCACTACTGCGCTTCTTTTGAACGAACCCGCGCTGCATCGTCGTGATCGTCATCGTCATCCTCCTCCTCATCCTCCTCCTCCTCATCATGATCATGATGATCATCATCATCACCATCACCATCATCATCATCTTCACCATCACCATCACCATCACCATCACCATCATCATCATCATCATCATCATTCAGCATGATAGCATGATAGAATCATAGCATTTCATAAATACTAAGATACCCCGTGTGCATTGTTGATTGATTCCAGTCTGTGCCGGCTAAACTCTTTTTCTGAAGACCGCTGCCACCCGATGGTCTACTGCTCGCTCTTGGCAGTACATTACACCGATATGATCCAACTTGGATCTGATTGGAATTTTCAGCGGGTACCGGGTACCCTCTGGAAATTCAGCATATAGATATGGACCTGGAAAATCACACTCTTCTCGTTAATAAATCCTCTACAAAATGAGACATCTATAGCTTTTTGCTATGACATTAGCTATGTCATCAATGGGAATTCCAGGATCCTAAAATGGAGGTACTGTACCATATAAGGCCATATTTTGCTGGGATATTCCCTTACATAGGCCTTATATAGGCCTTATATATATGGTAGGTACCTCCAATTTAGGATCCTGGAATGGCCATTGATGTCAAATTGCAGAAGGATGCAGAAGGTATGGGTCAAAAAATCTCACCAGCAACGATGGTGATGTCGCCAAGCCTCGCCAGCCCAGGGCACCCACTGGCACTGCTCCAGGGTGCAGTTCTGCCAATCTGGGTAGCTGTACCTCGAAAACGTTCGCGATGGAAATATATGCTCCCTGCCGCAGCAAATGGATAGAGTGTTAAAATATGTTAAAATCCCGGATGGCAATGAAAGATGGCAACAGAAAATCTCCGGTTGGAACAGGAAAACATAAACTAGCAAATCATCGTGCTTGATCCAACGGAGGGTATCGAAATGTATCTCGCAGAACTAGGAACATTCCATTGGACATAGATTTAAAGATCATGGATGTCCTTTCAAGCTCGAGGAAGTGATTGACGTAGGACCCATCATCGCCCATCATTGAATCGCTACAAAGTAAAATGATGTAAAATGTCAAATGATCTTAAGAAAGTCAGAAATATTGTAATCAGCACATATCAGCACCTTGTCTTGGCGTTATTTATCATTGTTTGGCATCCCGCAGCATCCTCCTGCTGTAGGCCCTCACATTTCATCTGGCCCCAAGGCCCCAGGTTTTATCCCTCCAATGAAGAGTCAACCTCTTGACCCAAGGCTGCCTCCATTGGTTCAGAAACTCGGACCCGATCTCGATCAGTGTTCCAGTGGCGGCCGTCAGCAAACCGATGACCAACGGAAGAACCTGGGACGCAGCTGGCAGCTTGGAGCCATGAGTTTTGACCATCCAAATCAGTTTCTCTAGAAATGTTTCCTCAAAAGTGCGGTAATTACTATGGATGGATTGAAGGGAATGCCCTTAGGAAAAGCCGTGAGTTACTGGTACCATCCAAAAGCATCCTTGCCCTAAACTAAAGCGACTCTGGGAGGGGTGTGCTCCCCCAAAGTGCAAGGATTCACCGCTGTAAGTAGTGATAAAGGTGAGGAGCCTTTTGTCTTTATACATGAAATATGATGAAATATGCAGTGTTTCAGGCACCGCTGCACTTGACCTTTCCCATTGTTGTTTTTCAGGCGCTCCAATTTCAGAATCCAGAAAAAAGACAAACACAAACGATCATGATGATCAAGACAGGTAATTTACCTTTGTTGATCTTTTCTTATCCTTTCTTGCTTACCATTGCAGTACCATGTCCATTCTCAATCCCCATCCGTCCCTATCTTGATGTTGGTGGCCTGCCCAAGGGACCCAACTGCTGGCCCAGGCCATGGCAGAATGGCGGTAGAAGAAGGTGTGGTCTGCATCTCGTACCAAATCATGTTGTAGGTTCACCTGGTGAAGGGAACTGGTGATTAGGGTCAAGGACCCTCAGGGAAACAGAGGGGAAACCTGGGTGAAAATGAGGAAACATGCCATGTTCCGCATGAAAATAGTCTCAAAAGCGAGGTTTTCCAATGACAGAGGTGCGCAAAGGCGAGTCTTTGCCTGCTTGTGACCGTGTGTGACACGGAAGCCACCGTATGAAGGGAATAAATCGAATAAGTCCGCGAAGAGCACAGCGACCAGCGAATGCTGTGTGAGGGCACTCAGGGGATCTTGGGCACTTCACTGGAAAGCAGCATCATTTATGCATCATTTCACGCTCACGCCCCCAAACAAAACGGCAAATGAGCTGTGGTCAAAATGTCTCGTCTTTCAGGAGGCGCTAAGGGAAGGCTGCGCGGCAGCTTACGCGTTGCTTGTGCAGCCACAGTTTTAGTTTGCGCACACGAATAGCTTATGCTGATGCTTACGCAGGCTTACGCACATCAGGCTGGGTTTTGCTTACACAAGGTCCTTATTGCCACTCCCGCGACTAAGAACTCTCGATTTCAAATGGGCAAACAAACTGCTATCTTCTGGCACACTTCTACCATCTACCAGGGTGTAAGTGATCCCTGCCACCAGTTGACGGTGAAGTCATCCCTTGAAACCGACAGGATCCCAGCCATTTTGGCACCACAGCACCGAGCCCAGCCCCGCGATATGGCCAGCTGCTGATTGGAACTGCGGCCACGCCAAATCCTCCACCGGGAAGGCCTTGCGGCGGTGCGGCGCTGCCGGCGTCGTTCCGCAGGCGTCTTCGAACTGCAGTTCTGCTAAAGTCTTTCGCAAGACTTTTTGGCCTGACAGGCTGAGCCAGAAAACCATGGCTGACACGTCAGTTCACCATGGTGATAATAGTGGAAAAATAAAGCACATCAAAACACTGGGATTCGCCAGTACTGTACCATTGAGGCTGCATCAAGCACAATGGATTGATTCAAGGGCAAAAATGAGAGGAAACTGTGGAATGTTGCCCCAACTGCGGGTCGTGGCTGGAGGCATGGCAGTTCAAGTGGAAATGGATATAGAAGCAGGCAGGCCGCTGACTAGTCAGCTAAGAGGTGGTCAAAGCATGTACCAACTTCTTAAAATTATTATTTGTTTTACACCCCCCCAGAAACCCATCGAGCCATATCTAGCAATAATCTGAGATGCGGTTTCATGGCAAGCTGCGGGCATTTGAGAACTGCTTCTGGCTGCGCACGGTGGGAGGACCGTGCCGGTCATCGCTTGGCACGGCCAGGTGCTCAGTCCGACCCATGGCTGGCCCGGCCAGTCGATTTTGCAAACAGCATCAGTGGCATCCGATAGGTCCTAGGAGTCCCATGGTACAATGGTACACTACCTGAGTGATTCTTAGATATCTACAGAATCTATAGATATCTTAGATCATGATTGATTATGCATGCTCGACATGGATCAAGTTGATCTCTACACTGGGAATTGGAGTCTGCTTCTGCATCAACTTTGCCCATCTGTGCCAACTTGCCACCATTTGCTTTGGAATGTGTTTGGTCTGTGTTTGATAACATTTGATAACCACAAAGTCTCACACCATCTGACACCCAACCTCAGACCGAAGCTATTGTAAATGAAAATGCGGATGCAAACCCATGCCGCCCACAGAAAGACTATGTCAGACCCACTTGGTTTCTGTATTTTTTTCGTACCGCTCATTTCAATGCAAAACTGATCAAAACTGGCAAGGGTATCACACACTAGCACACACCACACCAGACCGGAATGTTGCACAGTAATGTGACGGAAAAATATGCAAAATTGCGGACCACAAATGAAGCCGAACTTACAGTAGCCTTTGCATTGCATGGGCATGTTTCAACAACTGCGTGCTTAGATGAGGTTTTCCGCGAATCTCGCCCCAGTTCTGGTAGGTTCCTTCTGTGGTTCATGCATTGTTTGGTGGTCCCAACCAATCCCAAAGAGATTTGTCATTGGGTTCCTCTACTGTAATTGTTGCGAATCGACATGAACACTATCTCAAAACACAAATTGCCAACTGGTCTCCGTATCCTGCTTACTGCTGAGCACATTCCACTTGTTGGATCTTGTTGCTTTGTCAGCTCCCAAGTGGTTTTGGATATGCCATTTGAAACCACCAGCCACATGTAGGGACTTTCCCCACATGTTTGGCACAAAGAATATGTAACCTATGTCATATGTATGTTGATCAACCTTGTTGTATATTGTATCATATTGTATCCCCGTATTTAAACCCACATGCCACTCATCAATTTGAGTTACAGCATCCTCATTGTATCCTCATCCCCTGGACCTTTTGACCGCACCCATGGGAAGCTCAAGGGATGCTGGAGACGAGGCATCGCTACCTGGGATGCATAGCTGTTCATCCAAATCATCCAATATGGGAATAGGCTGTGACCACAGCAACCAGCTGATCCAGCTGTAAGATCTGTAAGTCGTTTCACTTCTTGATGTGACACACCTCTTCGCCAAGCCACTCTCAGCATACATGTCCAAAGGGGCGAGTCGCATCGGCCCAGTCGGCTCTGCCGATGCCGATGCGGCCCCCCTTGCGGCCTCCGCCGACTCTTCGGCGGGTGAAGCCACCTGCGCCAAATGCAATCAAGTCAGCATACACATCATACATTACAGTCATACAATGTCGTAGATGCAAGTGTACGAGTACCTCACGGTGTATACAGCAAAAATTAACTAGTATATCCCCGCCAAACGCTGAAGAAGTGCATTTAGGACTGCACGCCCGAGCGGATGTTGATTTGATTATCTATGACTATGAGCCTCTGGAGGCTGGCGTCTTGAGCTGAATGCATATATTGGTCAAGCAAACATCTCAGGATCCAAATCCAGGATCTTCACAAGCGCAGGCTTTAGCATTTTTGAACGTCTTTGCAATGTTTGGAACGGCTCTGGTGTCCTCTGATCGTTTCTAGGCAAAACAAAAACAACGCAGGAAGTTCCCTAAAACAATTTGCTCGTTAAGGTGCCTGAAACCAATTCCTTCGGGAAGTTCCCGAACATCAATGCCAGCACAACATTGGAATCCTGCTTTTAGGTACCCCTGCCTCCGGTAAAGCTGGATCCATATCCAGAGTCACATCGGCTATCTGCAGGGGCCACGATGTCCACATTTGATTCAACCCAGCCATGGCCCGGGTGCCCTTTATCATGTGAAAGTGGTTGGGCATGCCACCTGGAACTTAAAGAAATGGCAAATTCCAGATGGACCATGATGGACCAACATTCCTTGGGTTTTACTTGTTGAAGTTATATGATATTGGTTTGTCTGAAAATTGGGTGCCCTAAATCATCCAAAATCCATCAAAATCCCATGGTCTGCAATAATCGTCCATATTAAAATGCCATTTTGGGGGGGTATACCTTATTTTCCAGACAAACCCACCTATCATATCCCGTTATGCATTATATATATATATATATATATGAGAGAGAGAGAGAGAATAGTTATAAATATATATATAGAGAGATATATATATATATATATTTAATATATAACTATACTCATATATTGTATCCCATTATATCCCGATTAATCCCGATTATATATATACCAACTCTTTGTTTCCAGACCACACCTGGATGGCCTGTGAAGTGCTGTGTGAGTTGCTGGCCTGGCAGGGTCTATGTTAGTTGTGGGAATGGCATGAATATATAAAATAGGATCAAAGCCTGTATGTAAAGATGCTCGTATTATCTCGTATTAGAACAACAATAAAGAACAGCAAGGCTGCCAGGCCTTTTCCAAGCTGAAATGTCAGAGCTTTCATTGGAAAACATGGGACACTATTACTTACTATGCCTCGATCTGTTCAAGATGTGAGCCACTGGGTGTATTTTTGACCACGCTTTTGACCTGGAAGCAGGGCCTAAGGTTTGCCCGGATTATGCCCATATTCACGGACTGGTACACTTCCCAGACGTTGGCATGGGAAAAGAACACGGACAATGTGAAGATTATCATTCTTTACAAATCCAAAAGGTCGAATTACAGTAATGGCCATGAAGGCCTCAAAAGCAGCACTTTGTGGGCTGACGATATGGAAAATCGAGCGGAAACTTTGAGAGGCTTCGCTCTTGCGTGTGGCGTCTGCAAAAGATGGGCCTTATCCTGCAATGGATACTTTGCCATACTCCACCACTTTGAGAAGCTTCGAGTCTTTCAAGGTCTTAAATCTGTTGTTTGCGCATGCTGTATCACCTGGCCTTGGTCCATCATTCGACCAGCTAATATAGACCTCCTCCAGCTTGAAAAACTTGTGCAGCCGCAGAATGTTCTTTTCCAGATTTTCTGCGCACATGCCAAACTCGCCGTCGCAGTCGCATGGAATCAAGAAGGAATAAATGAACAGCTTTTTGGGATTCTGCCCTTGATTGAATGTCCCATAGCCGGAGGCCCAATCCGTGTGATTGCGAGCGGTCATCCCATAAAAGGCAGCATCCCATGTCCTTTGTCAAAGCCATCTCGCTTTGTGCACATCGGCAACAGTTAGCTCTTTTTACTTCGTTTGGTTTGGGAAAGAGTTCTCTTGCGCCCAAATCAAACGCGAAAACGCAGAACTGCTCCCCACCATTTGCACGCAATCCCTTGAGCCCCTTTCCCATGTTAACTGCCATCCGAAGGCCCAAAGAAATACCATGCGCCACCGACAGGACAGCCAACATGAAGAGATGCCAAAGGCGCGTCATAGCTATGGAGGCTGCGCTAATCTGTCACAGGAACCAAAAATGGTTGAGCCTGGAGCCAAAATGGCTACGATTTGGATATGACTGCGATTTGGGTACCTGCCGCCGGCTATGACCACATTGATGTTTTCCCTGGCTCCAAGTGGCTCCCGTGGCACCTCAGGGCTTTGCTCCATGGAAGTGGCCAACAGCTCACTGGAATCACCTGGCGCCCTCCAAAAGTTCAGTAAGCGCATTTGGGGGTACCATGTATGTCCATTTATATCCATTATTATCTATTTCTCAGGAAAAGAAATCCCTTCTTCCACCAAAAACTCATTGTATCGATCAAGCAGGTCGAACTACGGGTGTTTTCTTTCACCAAATCCACCAGGTGCTGGAAACATCACAGGAATGTTTGGAACAAGTCTAACAAAAGCAATGACAAAAAGTATACAAACAGAACAGTGAGAAGAGCTTCATGCAAGCTTGATGTGGCAGCTGACCAGACCTTGTTGCCATTACCGAGACTTCCCTCAGTTTCACCCTGCCAAACCACACACACACACAAACAATTATAAACAATTAGTAGATCTTCCGTCTCCCTGGCAAAAAATGCAGCAAGAGGAATCAATGTCTATACCCATACACCTCAAGATCCGTTTAATCCATATCATCATCATATACATATATAAGCTATATAATATAATATTATATTATATTATGTTAAATAATATACATTGTACCGTTGTACCGTATTATAAATGAATTATACATTGAAGGTCATTGAAGTAACTCGTCACCGTTTTCCCACACATTGTGCCTGGAGATGCGGGAGACCTTCCAACCGACTCCAAGGCTCGCCTGGGCATATCATGTGATCCCATGAGATACCCAACCCTCGAAGACCCTGGAGGCCCTGGAGGCCCTGGAGGCCCTGGAGGCCCTGGGTGTCCCGGGCGCGGCAGCATTGCCACAGCGCACCAACGCTTCGAGACAGTTCACCGCGCGCAAACCCAAGTCCTGGTACAACATACGGCCAGCGTGACAACGCCCGGCGTTTTGAAAACAGCGTGCTTTTGTGCGAATGATTGCAGGTCTAGGTGCTGCATCTTTTGTTTACAAGAACGTGTATGTGCATGTACATATATATATAATGACAATACATAATGTAAAATAATGTGTATATATGCAGCGTCAAAGGTGCTTGATACACCGTTCATAAATTAATAAACTAACTACACCTACTTCCAAAATGGAATTTGTAAACTTAAATCTAAACCACCCTTTTAAAAAGTATGTCAACATATGTCAACTATTTGGCCGGCATTCTTCTTGCTAAATTTGTCCGTGTGCACGTTGTTTGCAAAATCTCCAGGTCCTAAGGTTGCATATATAATATTTATTATGTATGTATTATGTATTATATTATATATATGCGCATCTTAAAATGCCTCCCAACAAACTTGCGAAGGGGGTAGTCCAGAAACAAGCGGGCACATAAACACTTTTTGCTGCAAAAAAGGTTCCAACTTTGGAGACCTTCCTACAAATCCGTAGGAAAGTAAGTTCTAATTCAACTTCAAAGTAATTTAGATTTCCATGCCAAAGTCAAGTCCAAATCAAACTCAACTGAGAATCAAATCAGATCTGAAAACAACATCCGTATCCATGCCCGTATGCATGCCCCAACACCTTTCCATGAATACATGTCTCAAGTACCTAGAAAGCTTTTCCTGACCACATGTTGGGACTCCCAGGGGGGGTAACACTATGGAACGCTATTTGTGCCACGACAATGAAAAGGAGGAGCATCTTGGAGTATACTACTCATAAGTCAACATTCTGTATGGTTTGTATGCATCGAACATTGATATCTATACGTATATATATATATACATGGTATCATGCGGTTTACACACAATTATCCAAAGATATCAATCAGATATCCACAGCAGCAGCGTGGACCCGGGCCTCTGGGATGCTTTGGCTCATGGTGTCCACAAAAAAACTCTCCAGGTCCATGGGAGACGAGGCCTCGCCTGAGCGGTGGCTGGAAGTTACATTACGCATTGGTTAATATTGTCGTTAAACAATGGTTGATGCTTTGGGGACATTCCAAGAAAATTATATTGTATATTAATATATATATATATATATTATATATTCATATAAATAGGATCAACCAACAATAAGACACCAAGAACAAGCACAGAGAACAAGAACAACAACGACGACAAGAAGAATAATAAGAAGAATAACGACAACAACCACAACAACCACAACAACAACAAAAACAGTAACATGCTGTTGTATGCTGCATGTTGTATCTTGTGTTGTGTTGCTAAAATATGGCTCTTTGGAATTCTTTGGGCAACTATGTTTAATGATGGGAGCTTCAAGTCAGCTGTAGTGGATTAGCAAAGGGTAGCACTTCAAAGAGCTGGCATTTGGAGTATGAGCTAGTACTTCTGGATCTTCATCAAACAGCATTTGTGCTGATGTTGCTTTAACAATGCTTTAACTATCTTCAACTTGGTCAAGGTTCTATGCCCAAAACGGTCGTGTATCAAAGTCGCAGGTGTGCGTGTGTGTGTGTGTGCAGAACATGACTTCGCTTAAGTGTTGTCCAACTAAAAATTAGTGAATATCAACATATTGCATAGGTATCGGTACAATTGGTTCAACTCAACCACCATAATTGCCACAAACATCTTTCACATGCATGTCCCATCATTGACCTATCGATTCTAAGCCAAAGGGTGTTCGTTTTGACAAACAGTTGCCGCGATACCATTTACCTCCATTTACTTACTATCCCTGACGGAGGGTTTGTGAAGTTTTGGGGGTTACCCAAATGTTTTTTTTTTGGCCAGTTACCCAAATGTTCGCAGGAGAATACTTTCCAACACTTTCCAACATACTTCACCATTGAAAGATTTAACGTCCAGTGCTATATACCCTCTGGTAATTTAACATAGCTATTGAAAACTGCCATTTATAGTGAGTTTTCCCATTAAAAAAGGTGACTTTCAATAGCTATGTTAAATTACCAGAGGGTACCCATCATTCACCCGGGATCCACCCAGTCACAAAGGTGTGTCTCTTCCAAAGACTCCACCGCATCTTGTAGTTGCTTCACAGTCCATTCCTGTTGCCCAGAGCGGTCCTGGCAGCAACCCCTACCCGCAACCGGTATAATCCAACATGGCTAACATGGCTAGCTGCGACATCCCGGAACTAAATTGGCATTCGAAATGGGAAAACGATCCGCGGCATCCCAAATGATGGATTTGGCATGATTCAACATGATTTAACTACTGTAAGACTCGTCCGCACATTGAGAACATTGAGGAGAGTCCTTGAGACTCAAGTCCAAACTGAAGACCAAGCTGGTTCAACCCTCCCATTGACCGAATCGGCCCACATCACTTTTAGCCAGTCTGCATCAGTCCCTGCAAATGCACCAGCCCCTGCTGCACTTCGGGGTTGTCCTGAAGTTCTTGCACCACTTCAGCTTTCGCCGTTTTCCTTACAGTCTGATGAGGCCCGGGCTCAAAGTGCCAGGCTTGGCAACAATTTTGGCATAAATCCGGCAGCGTGTGACGCTCAGCCCGAAGAACTGGCAAACTGATGCAAACTGTATATTCAGCTTGGAGATCATTAACACACATCAAATCCCAACTAGACCAAAGCAGTTGTGGGGCTATTCTGCACTCGCACCATGCAGAGACACCCCACATACTCTTCTCAACAATATGCATCCCCCACCGTTTCAGGCTTGGCCGAAAAGCTACTCGATTCTTTTTTGCCGAGTCTCATGGACAGCGTGGAGTTGTACCTATGGTGTGGGTTATCACTGAGGAGGCATAAACAGGTATAAATATCAATAGTCCCACAGTTTGTTGCATGTTGATGGAGAGGCAGCGACGGTCACAGCCCTGTGCATATGTTGGCATCCCCTCTCGCTTCACGCTGGCGGATATCCATCATTCTTCCCACATCTAACATGAAGAGCCGCTGGCTGCTCAGTGGTTGGCTGACGTCTTAAGAACTCACACATGTCATGGCTGAACATTAGACATCGGCCATGCAAGAACAAGCCAGGATACTCTTCCTTGGTCTCTTTCAGGAGTACTTCCATGGCTTTCCTGTTTGGTGAGCCACCGTATCTCTGGATGATTTAAGGATTTAAGCCAGGCATCCAACCAAGCAACCTTTGAAGAAATCTCAACTGATCTCAGCGAGGTCACGACAGTCATAACACCATTAGGCTCTATCCGCTTGGAAAGTTTAGCTTTCAAATCTACTTGGGAGATCATCAGCACCAGCTATACTGCAGGCGTGACTTTCGGGCAGGTCATCACCACAGCTACTGACCAATTCCCGAGCAGCGAAGAAGTGGAAATATCATCGGAGCGCAAGTAGGGACCTTTTGTTTTTTGGGGACTCATGGTGAATCAAATGGGTTTGGCCGTTTGGCTTGAAACTGGGGTATCCAAGAATGGATGGCATTGATACTGACTGATAAGCACTGATAAGTCAAACCTCGGGGGTCCAAAGGTCTTTGACCCGGGCCTCACTTCGTGGCACTGCCTGCGATCTGCCAGCAATTCGATCCAGGGACGTACCTCAAGGTACTTCCACGGCAGACCCACTTGAAACCCAAGTATTTCCCATGTATTTCCCATTGGTGTTTGATGTGGAATGATGTTCCTGCCATTTCAGATCTATTTAGATTTCGATTTATGATGAGGAACATGTGAAATTCATGAGTATCCCTGCCATTTTGGTGTTTATTTCAGTTAGCTTCTCAGAATTTTGGGGGAACCAAACTTTCCCTTGGCATCCCTGAGCTTCTTAGATCTCCGCCCCTCGATGTTCATTGAGGCCACAACAGCTTGCACGGCTTTGGCCCGCGTGTCCCGAACCTCGACAATGCAGTTCCTATTTAAGGTGGGATAGGGATGGTACTGTAGATAATAATGATGGAATGCGATATAATGTCAAGGACCCAATGGTAAACCAACCCCAAAATCACCATAAAAGGATGGTAAATAGTAAAACCCATCCCCATTAAAACGTAGATAGGTTTATTATTGGGTTTACCACATGAGTGGCGGACAAAATTGCTTACTACTCGCAATGGACATTGCCAAAGTGGGTGGTCCCCTATCGGTTGTGAAGGTTGCAACACAAGTTTGAACATCGCAAGTCCACTCCCTACTACTTTAGTTTTTAAATGTTTTTAATTAGATATTTTTGTCGGTTACTCACATGAGTAAGATAGGGCGCAGATGGGCATTCAATAAATAAGCTGCTTTTGCATCCGGCGCAGCCCTCCTGTGAACCACAGTGATCATGGACACCTGTCATTCATCATAAGCCAGCTATCCCTGATTGAATTTCGATCAAAAAATGCATACTGGTAATAAATCAATATAAATCATATTATCATGCCATATCATGTCTATACAGTATATACTTGGTTATTACTTAAACCCTGACAATATCACCTATATGTGCTTATATAAATAGCCAAATAGCACAAGTCAGATTAACAGCGGGTGTTCTTACATCAATTTACATGGTATAAAGTTCAATGTGGTTACTTATTTTTGTTTAAAAACAAAAAGTAGTTGCCCGCAGTATCCTTCTCCAGGGCCCCCTTGCTCGCTTCTCCAAGGCTTCTGCACCCCCAGCGAAGCGCACGCAGTCTCGCGCCTGGTTCCACCGTGGAGTCATGACAGTTGGTGTCTGGTAGATAAGCGATTTGGTGCTTCACCCCAGTTGGTAAGCGGTTTAAAACTTAAAACCTATTAAAACCTCACATTTTCGAGTGGGGGAAGCAGGGTTGGTCAGTTATGACGGTTGAACTAAGCCACAAAAACTACAAGTAAGTGAGTTGAACCACCCAGTACAGCAAGTAGAGGTAAACACGCAAACATACACCCACTTATGGAGCATCCTGGGGCATCAAAACTAACAACAAGTGAGTGTTGCAACAATTTGCTGGCCACGCGCTTGCAGGTCACTATCCTTTGGACAACCCACACAGCTCAACAAAGGGCACCAACGGGGCAATCACGATACTTGTCTGGTTTTAGTGCTTATTGTTTTGGATCTTGAACATCCCATTTTGAAGTTCAAATAGTGTCCAAAACATTGCCACAACCTGGGTCGACCTGGGCTCAAGGCTTGAAGGGGGCCATTTCACAAGCAAAAAGTAACAGTAGATTCCCAAAATGAAAAATCACCAATGGGGAAAAAAACGCATCTTCGGCACTTCAGTAAACCCAGGCAATATTGATATCTCTCTCGTTGATTTTCTATGATTATAGCACCTACGGCAGTATGTACCAGTAGTGCCGCACAAGGCGGTGGCGGAAGTTTCAAAAATAGGAAACCTATAGGAGAGATTGATTGTTGTGAATCACGGATGGCAGAGCACAACCAACTGATGGACCGAAAGGTGGTTGGAGTTGTGTTTTTTGGAATGGCTGCAATGGTTGCAGCGGTCACCTGGTCGGTCACCTCACCCACAACTGCTGGATGTGGTGTGGTGTAGCGCAACTGTAGTTGCAGCTGTAGTGTAGTGGAGTTGTCGTTGTGGTGTAGTGTAATTAGTGTAGCGCAGTTGCAGTTGCATTCGTGGTGGTGTAATGAGTGTGGTGTAATGTAGCGTAATGTAATGCAATGTGGGGTAGGGTAGCGCAGTGCAGTGTAATTGAGAGTAGTGTGGTGTGGCGTGGTGCGGTGTAGTGTGGTGTAGCGTAGCGTAATGCAATTAGTGTAGTGTAGTGTGGTGTAGTGTTAGTGTAGTGTGGTGTAATGCAATTAGTGTAGTTATAGTTGTAGTTGCAGTCGTAGTTGTAGTTGTAGTGTAGTGTCGCGTGGTGTAGTGTAGTGTCGCATGGTGTAGTGTAGTGTAGTGTAGTGGAGTGTAGTGAGGTGTAGTGTAGTGTAGTGGAGTGGGGTGTGGTGTAGTGGAGTGGGGTGTGGTGTAATGTAATTAGTGTAGTGTAGTGTAGTCTTATGTAGTTGTAGTTGTAGTTAGTGTGATGTAGTGTAATGTAGTGTAGTGTAATGTCTTTAGTATAGTGTAATGTAATGTACTGTAGTTGCAGCCGCAGTTGCAGTCGCAGTTGCAGTTGCAGTAGTAGTTGTAGGTGTAGTGCAGTGTCATTCAGTGTAGTGGAGTGTAGCGTAGTGTAATGTAATTAGTGTAGTATAGTGTAGCGTAGTGTAAATGTAGTATTGTTGTAGTTGTAGTTGTATTTAGTGTAGCGTAGTTCAGTGTAGTGGAATGTAGTGTAGTGGAGTGTAGTGTAGTGTAGTGTAATATAGTGTAATATAGTGTTAGTGTAGTGTAGTGTAATTGAGTGTACTGTAGTGGAGTGTAGTGGAATGTAGTGTAGTGTAGTGTAATGTAGTGTAATGTAGTGTAATTGAGTGTAGTGGAGTGGAGTCTAGTGGAAGGTAGTGGAGTGTAGTGTAGTGGAATGTAGTGTAGTGTAGTTGTAGTGTAGTGGAGTGTAGTGTAGTGTAATGTAGTGTAGTATAGTGGAATGTAGTGTAGTGTAATGCAGTGTAGTGTAGTGTAGTGGAGTGTAGTGTGTGTAATGTAGTGTGGTGTAGTGAAATGTAGTGTAATGTAATGTAATGTAGTGTAGTGTAGCGTAGTGGAATGTAGTGTAATTGAGTATAATTGAGTGTAGTGTAGTGTAGTGGAGTATAGTGTAGTGTAGTGGAATGCAGTGAAGGTGTAGTTGCAGTTGTAGTGTCGTTTGTTGGGGTGTAGTGTGGTGTAGTGGTGTTTGTAGCTGAAAATGCTACAAAACCCTCACGTTTTGCTCACTTTTGACATCTGAACATCGCGCCTGCCATGCGAAACGACATCTGAACGTCCAAAAGTGTTCCGAACCCCTAGCGTTTTTAACATTTTGACTTCGAAATGTGCTTCGCGCCACAACCGCCTGCACTTTTTCGACATCTCAATTTCCAAAAGTGGTCTGAGAATGGTGTGGTTTGTACATTTTGACTTCGAAACGTGCTTCGCGCCACAACTGCGTGCACTTTTTCGACATCTCAACTTTAAAAAGTGCTCCGAACTTGAGAGGTGTTTTTAGCTTTTTCACTTGCAAATGTGTCTCGCGCCACAACGGCGTGCACTTTTTGGACATCTCAACTTCCAAAAGTGGTCCGGACTTGGTGTGTTTTGTACATTTTGACTTCGAAATGTGCTTCGCGCCACAACGGCGCAATTTTTCATCTCTCATCTGCCCAGCGGGCTCCGCATCCGCCGCTTTAGCGAGCCTACTTTTCGACCCTCCGGAGCCACAAATCATTGGAAAAACACAGTGTTTCGCGACTTTCCTACCTTTTCGCGCACCTGGATCTTCTTTCTTCTGAGTTTTTCTCTTTTTGATCTTCTTTCTTCTTCTCTTCTTCTTCTCTTCTCTTCTCTGACTCTTCACATCTCTGCTTTTCATCTGTCCATATTGTCGGAAGTTTGACTTCTAAACTTCCTTCGATCATTACTATGTATTTATGGTTTTGCATTACACTAATATCCGCATTCTATTCTCATGTTGGATCACAGAGGGTGATCCCCCATGAAGAAAACCCGGAGATGTCTATAGTTCGATGGCCCTTAACTAATGGGATTATCACTCTTGTAACGAAGGTTATATGCTGGTTTCATAAAATAAGGCACCAACCCAATCATCCAGAATTTGACCATGACTTAGTATTGAAACCTATGGTTTTGGAGTACAGTACACCCATTTTAGGAACCCCCCCTATATATATATGTATATATATATATATCTATATCTCCACATATCATTATATATATATAAGAAACCCCCAAAGATCCAAGATTCACTCAGGAGCAATGGAACGTTCAGCCATGTTCAGCCTGCAAGCGCGCGTGCAGGCTCTGTAGCGCCAGGGCTTCAGTCTCTTCGGCGGCGCGCAAGCCACGGCCTGGCGCCATCAGAAACTGAGGGGGTTACAATTCATAATTCTTATTGAATATGATAGACATTATAAATATAATATGATATTATAATGGCTTTCTCGCAGATCCACAAACTTTTGCAGTCTGTTCAAAGGTCCACGGAGATCCAGCGCGGCCTAAGGCCTGCAAAGGTTCTCCGCCAGATTCCACAGCCTCGGCCGCCTGATGAGTTGCAGCTCGCTCCCATCATGACGCTTACAATAGTTGCATGATGTTGCATGGGTTTGGGGGGAAATCACGCATTTCATAAATATGATAAAATCATCTGTGTTGCATGATTCCACATGATTCCACATGAACTCTTTTGAGTTGGTCTGTGTCGTGTCGTCAGCCCGTTTGCAAGTGGCAGGCAGTCTTTGATAAAGAGTGCTGCACTGATGCTGTGACAGCGTAATGTGTGCATCCTTTATCATCCTTTTGGCATGTTCCTCGGCAAGTTGCTACAGGATGATGGCAGCATGGTGCAAACAATGTTGTGATTATTATATGTAATGCCATGGGATCCCAGCCCACTAATATTGAACACCCCCTACTAAATAGTCTCAAATACATGTACAGTAAATGCCCCACTAAGCAATGGTTTCTGGTGGTGTGTTTTCCATTGGGAGGGGTAAATCAGCTATGCGCCCCTTTTTTTCGCTGCGCTGATGGTCTCCAACCACAGTCGCCAGGGGAGCAGCACATCGAGGTCATAGACGTGGCGTCTGGTCAGGAAGCGCTGGCGCTTCCGCCCGTAGACCACATCGCCTCAGGCGGATTTGCTGTTGGAAGCCATGGGAAACCTATGGAATGTTCCAAAAGTATGGAAAACATGTCAGAGAAAAAACAGTTAAACTAGGGTTTGCTGCAACATCACACCAATCCGTGAAGAAATGGTGATTGAAAGCAACAACGCTACAGTTTGGTTTTGTTGTTATCGTTTAATTAATCAAATGTTCAACAGAACTTAGCACAATTCTCCATCCATGGCCATCCATTGATATTGCTGAACGACTGCCACCCCGCCACAGCGCCATATTTTGGATCCGCGGTCAAATGGTTTTTAGTTTTGAGGTTTTTGATGGCCACATTCAGCATGACCAAGTTCACGGAACGGTTCAGGTACCAAGCGCCAAGCGCGCCAAGCGCTTGTTGGGTGATTCAAAGACGTTGCACATCTCCAGGGCCAGGTCAAAGGGGACTGCTGGACCGCATCCTGTTACCTTAACCTCAAAAATTTCTTTTGGGTTTGACTGGCTTATAATTATATAACCGGCCTGACTGCTTTCTGAATGTTTGGCATTGTTTGGTAGGATTGGGGTGAAGCTCTGATGGGTTGGGAACCAAACACCAGCCGCGCAGTTTGATTTCAGACAAGTCCTAGAATCCTAGAACGATGCTGGCACTTTTTGGCACAAGATCAGTTGGTCTTTCATCCAGTTGCCAGCAAACATCCCTTGAAAACTCCTGGTTTGGATGGTCCTTGAGACCATTGAAACACGAGCTGTCCTGGCCTGGAAGATGCTGAACAAGCTGAACAAGCTGAACAAGCTGACGCCAGCAATGGCAGCTGTTCGGGGGTTCAGTTTATTCAAAAAGATCGCTTCGTGGGACAGCCCCATACCATCCCCATAGCTATAAGTAGAATGTGAATGAATATGATAGAATGTTGTAGAATGGTTTGTTTAAAAAAAAAAACGCACAATCAACTACTGTAACTACTGTAACTACTGCACTAACCCCTTCCCCTTAGATCTTTTCGTTTTGGGGTCCCTTGTTGGAGCTATTGAATCTTATGGTAAGTTCCTGTGAGATGGGAATGTTTTCAGCTGCCACCCAAACGAACGTGTCAAACCTCGGTCGTAAGCCAGTGGATGACCTGGACAACATGTACTTAGTTGTGCATATGACAAGTATTGATCATCTATGATTCTCTATGCATGCGCTTAAATATCTTAAATGTAATTGAAAACATTGAAATAATGTTGAATAATTACAATCTTGATACGGTCTATGCCGGCAATTGGTTTCTGTAAAGTTGAACCTTCACGAGGTTCGACTTGGTTTGATCGGATGAGCCGGATGAGCTGAGATCGATTTGACAACAACTTCAGATATATCCTCTTGTCGTTGCTGGCGAATGATTGGAACTCCTAGCAGGGCCTGCGCACCTTTTCCAGCCAAACTGAAACAAACTTGAACATGTTCATTTGTGCAATAGCATTGTTTTGGACATGAAGCATTTTCACAGCATTTTAGATTGATCCATCATATGGTTGAGAAAGTCTCAGTAGCTCCTGGCCTCCACACCTACTGTAAATAATTTAATAGGAAATATGAAATAATATGAATACCCCTAGCTCCTTAATGCTCCTTAGCTCCCTTGGAACCACCAGATATGGCCTTGAGGTATCGCAGGAACTGTCGGAACTGTCCATTGTGTTCCAATGGTATTCCGATGTATTCGAGAAAAACGGGGGCCGTTTTAGGGCGCATAGGAACACACTGTGCCAGTGAAATCACATGGGACATGTTGGCATCATCTACTAGGGGGTATTTAATTTGAGTAATATTAAGAGGGTGGGATTTGTCAATATTTCCTCAAAAGAAGTCCCAGTCGACATGTCAGGATCAAGATGGGACGGTCCAACCCTGGCTGAAACGTGAAATCTTCTTCTTGATATTTCTTGATATATATAGCAATAGTAGGGCTTCTAGATTACGTTCGAGCCTTACGAACATCAACACAGTGCCCCAAGGCATGCGCAACGCCGCAACGCCTTACTGCGCAACACGGGCCTAGCACAACGCATTTTCGCATCGTACACGAATCTGACGGCCATCAGCACACTCCACGGAATACCTGCCAGCATCCAAGTCAACTTCACCTGAGATCGTCGGATCCAAGTCCCCTTTGATTATGAAATAAAACATATCATCTGGTAAATTAACATAGACCCTGAAAATCACCAATTTATAGTGGAAACTAGTCTTCCAAACCCTATCTGCCAGGGTCTATGTTAATTTACCAGAGGGTAAAACCAAACAGCCTGGCTGTTTGAGCTGTTTCTGTGAAGCTTGAGGTTCCAACGGCGGGATTCATACAGATCATACAGTTAGAATGTTTTTGTTTTCCGAGATACGCCCAGGCACTTTGAATGCTATTCGTCTTTGGACTTGTGCGAAACATAAGTCCATGTTGACATCTGTTGGCTACATTAGCTGTCCCATCCTTTAGACCCAAATATCGTTGGCTAGAGATGACATGTCTTAATCATATCATATCTTAATTAATACATGTTGGAAATATGTGCAACTAAAATCAACGAAATATGTAAAACCACATGCGCAAAATATCAAAAACTAGGCCTGTCCTCTCTTTGTTATATATATATATATACAGTGCTTATGTATATATATATATGTGTGTGTGTGATTATATATATACACATATGTGTGTGTGTTACACATACATCCGTCAAGCAAGCATGTCCGAAAACATGTTCGCTCATGTGTGCCCACACTATCCTCTGGAAGAACATGGGTCTGTCTGAAAATAGGGTATACTAGTACCATGGTATACCGTATACCCCAAATTATAGCCATTAAATGGGGAGAATGAGGATTTAGCAATGGATTTGGGGCTCCCCTATTTTAAGACAAAAGCCACATGGATACTCCCCTTGAACTGCGTTACAGATCAGGGCCATCTTGCCATTCAAGTCGAGAGGACTCAGCCCCTGCAGCCTTGCGACCGCTTGGCGAGGTCAGGGCGCCCGCAAAGGTTTCAGACAATCGATCTGGGAAAATTACAATATTTCACAAAGCTGAAATAAGGCTAGCTATGGGGATTCCCCATAGCATCCATAGCTAACCCTTACTAACCATGATTCCAGGTCACAGTGAGGTCAGTATAATTTACCCAGATCAATGGATTGTTCGAAGGGGATTCTACAGGAAACCATGGTTTTACCCGCTGTGAATTGTCTTCGTCCAATTCTGGTATACACATCGAAGAAAAAACTACCGCATCAATACAGGGAAAATTACATCATAAAGCTGGACCCAGAACCAATGATGAAAATGTCATAATTAATCAAGTTAAGATGATAATTAGATGAAATATCAATGCCAAGTTATAACATCTTCGGTCATTCATTCTTAGATTATTACTGACCTGTCCATGCTTTTCCCACCAGGCCGGCTCTTTGGGAGAATCCAACCACCAGTTGGCAAAGAAACCCACACTGCCCGATCACCACTCGCTTCGATGATGTTCGGATGCCAAAACATCAACAAAAACGATCATAAGACTAACATAATAAGACTAACATAAGACCATCATGAATCATAACGCCATCATAAGGCCATCGAAATCCACCATCATAAGGCCATCCAAAGCCACCCACCCCGCAAGGACAAGGATCCGCACGCAGGTGCCAGCTCTCAAGATCGCATTGCCAGGTTTCAGCGTGAGAACTGCATCGCTGTTAGGCAGCATGACCAGGTAGCGTCCTGTCTGGGCGCGGCCACATCGGCTACCAAACCCCAAACAAAGTGTTTGAAGGTATGAAAAAAGATAAGATAACTCAATATCATATGATCATTGCTTGTCTTATGTGCTTTATTTATCTATATATATAGATCAGCGCAACCTACCAAATATATAGTTGAAAGAAAACAAGATAGCGTAAATGTATTGTAGAATCCAGTATGGAAATTATATTGGGTTGTTTTCAAGTGTCAATAGGCATCAAATGAATTCAAATGAAATATGGGCATCTGGTTTATCGCTTATTACTGGGCTTCCTGGCTTACCACAGTCCACAACGATCCATCAGAATCCATCATGGTCCATCCCTTCATCCAAAGTCAAATTCAGCTGCCTGTCCATCCTTTGGTTAGGAGATACCCCATGTTTATCCATTTTAGCACAAGATCATAAACTTCACGAATAAACTTCACGAAGTGCTAAAGTGTGTTAAACATCTAAACACTCCATCCAAGCTTTGACTCAGATGATCTCAAATGGAATGAAACACATTGACACCGAATTGACACCTGACCACCAAAAATGTCCCCCAGCCTGCTTCAAAACCCATAATCTGGACCTGAGTTCCAATCATTGGATCCCAGGCAGGGTGGAAAGATGTGGAAAGTAGACATGTGAAACCCAACGCGAATTAGATTAAAATCTATAGATGAAATACAGGTAATTATATATAATGGTAATAGTAAATGAAATTGTAAATGATTAAATTACTACGAGATACTACGAGTATGATCATATATGATCATTATGACTATATTAGAATATATTAGATCATGATGATCATCGTAACTACTGTCGCATTTCGCTTCAGAAGCCTGCAATCTTCCTGCCAACATGCAAACACCTCATGCACCCAGGCCTTCCATTCTTGTCGCTCACAAGCCACCCATGTCCCCAGCCAAGTCACCTCTTTGCCATTCAGCTGGGGATGGAGGCTCAGTCCGTGAATTCTCGCAGAACATTTCTGGGCCATGTTCTCCGGCTTCACCTGGGGATTTGTCCTGTGAACAGCAGAACTTAGCCGGGAGCATTTATCCAATCTGAATTCATCCCATCTAATCCAAATGCCTAATAGCCTATAGTTATACAAATACATAGATAGATATCTGTTCACTTGTACGATTGTATTGCTTATATTTGTCGGCGTTTAAATATTGACACGGAACCAGCCCAGAGCCTTTACCGTGGACTGCCACTAGGTGACTAGCTCAGTACGATCTGACATCCTGATGGTTGGAGATAGCAGACTACACCAGACTCGCTGAGCCAAAGGGACCGCAAAAGAACAACAGCCCTCCATCACCAAGTTGTACCGGCCTGCAGCGACTAGCTGGGCCTGGTTGAACCGCGAAATCCCATGTTTTATTGGGCGTTGTCAACTTCAACTGACGTCGTTCCTGATCCTATGGCCATATTTGGCCATGACATCCGTATAATTAACATGCATTAACCCGAAAAGAAGGGAAACACTTTCCAGAACCATCTAAATCAGAATCTAAATCTAAACCACCGGTTTCAGGATGCCTGTTCTCTCATCGAAGCCACGGACTCTGGCTTCACAGCCGTTGTGGTGTAAGGACTTGGCGGCGCGAAGTCGTGGCAGATGTGTGGTAATGGGTTGTAAAATCCCAAAAACTGGGTATTGACTCGAGGCTGTGATAAAGTTATGCGGATTTTCTTTACCGCTGCAGCTGCCAACGTTTCTTAGAAAACTCGTGTTGCTCTACATGGCCTCTAAACAAATGTTGTGCGCCTGTTGCTGAACATATTGCCCGCAAACTTGGTGGTCTTGGAAGCCTAGGAATGCTCTTTCTGGGCAGTGTAGTGCACTTATATGATCTTATATGATCTTATATGCACTTATATACACCTTATACATCCTTATACAGGAACTGCTTCCCAAGTGGGATTCCAAGACCGTTGGCACTCTCTCAGCACCCCCAAGTCTTGCCATTAATAGGTTTCCAATGACAATATTCCGCTGACCATACCACTTGTGGACTCTCTAGTCCAGCTTGTCTCAAGCAGCCAGGGAGCCTTCTGAAAACTGTGAAGCACCACTGCCGTATTATCCGGGACAGTGCAGTGCTTGGTGCGTAATGGGCCGGGCTTGTGCCGTTTGGGCTGTCCGTCACCAGAGTTGACCTTCGCCAGGCAGATTGAGAAAATTCTCCGAGAGTGCATCCTCTGCCAAAAACCAAGACTGAAATCAAAAGTCTCTATTTCTGATACGAAAATCGTGGGGAATCGTCCTCAAATGAAGAGTTTCCGTTGCAAATTTGGATTGTCAGTGTGATATTCAAGCGGCGTACCACACTAACCTCCCCCATTGTAGTCTCTGTGCTCAATGAAGTTCAACAAATTTGTTTCAAAAAGATCGTTCTGAGTTCTGAGATTGTTCAAACAGCTAGTGGTCAAAGTCTAGCCCCTAATGAACATCCATGAGCCTCCCTGATCTGAATTGAGTTGGTTGTGGAACCGTTCACACGCTTTGGGGGCCAAGTTTTGGACCAAATTGACCTACTGAGCCAAGCGACAGCACGATAGATCTTCTCTAGATTCAGGTCCTGCATCTGTTGAAACAACTGATGTTACAGAAATTCGCACAGCATTTGAGAGGTAGAAACCAGAGTTTTTCAGAGCTAAAAGCCAGGGTTTCCTCCAATTTACGACTATGTTCCTTCAAAATCATCATTAATATCATTAACAATTCATAGACCACCTGAATTAACTATTGTTACTCGATTGTTTAATTCAGGTATATTCAGGTGGTCTATGAATTGAACAATCAAGAGATATCAAGAGGGACTCCAAGCTTAAGGATCTGCAGGTAGCTCCTCACAGCTCCATTTGGTGGTACAGTGCCTGAAGGCATGACTTTCCTTTCGAGGCTGTCCTCAGCAAAGGAGGTGGATCCAAGTGACATAGAGGTCACCCACAAGTCATGATAGTCATGTTAATGTGTTTCTCCCCAAATGAGGAAAAAAAACACATCTTAAGGGGTTCTACATGATCTGACACCCATCCGTGCCACAAATGGACTGCCAGCAAACCGGGTTTTCAAAAAAAAGTAGCGGGTCATAAGGTCGCAGAACTCGTGGAGTTCAAAGCCTTTAGAGCCTCGCGGGGCGGCCCTGTGAGGCCCATGTTGATTGCTTTCGAACTACCTAAATATGGATGAAAATAGGCTTAGTGTCAACATGTGTCAACATGATCCACCCGTTTCAACCCAATATAATTGTGTTGCACTATGTTGCACTATACTTTCCAATCTAAACGAACATTTGATGAATATCATGATTTGACACTCCGTTGTCTTTACAGCACAATTGGACTGAGATTCACGATAAGTGTTCACTATACTGGCCTGTGTTTAACATAGTCAAATAGTCAAGTGCTATTTGTGGAATTTTTGTACCAATTCAATAGTCAAATCCTTTTACCATCAAGAGAAGCAATACACATAGTCAAATCACTCTATCAGAATAGTAGATCGGATCTTCTGGTCCAGTCAAATCATTCCTTCGATTTGTTCAATTAGAGCAATGATAGCAAATAATGCGTTTTGGAATTCCAACGGCCAATCAAATGGTCAAATGGCGACAGATGGCGACAGATCCAATGTTCGAGTTCTTTGCATCGTAGACGTTTAGAATAACAAACATGATCAAACATGACTGCCTTAAAGATGGCTAAACATCAGCATATGACAGCATATGCAAGCCAAGGGCACACAAGATATCTATCAACCCCCCCCTTCATTCATGCAATTCAAGACATACCACTACTATCCTGTTAAAAATGTTGATGCGAAAAGCTGGTTGAGCCCCAGTTTGACAATTCGCATTTATTGCAGTCAACTTTGATGCAAAGTGTTGTTTTTTTCCAAGATGTCCATTTCTCTTAAAGGGTTTGATTTATGCTGAAGATCTTTGCAAGACATGATTAATGAGTAGATTGACGTTAGATGGACGTTTGGGTAGTCTGATGAATTGTATGTTGTGTTTGCAGTTTGACATTGAACATGTATCTGTATCTCTATATGTATTTAAAACTACATACAAACATACATTCAGGGTCGGCCTACAAGGATGATATGGTGCACATAACAGGTTCATTGATTTCGCAATATTTGTTTTCTTAAATTTGCAGGGAATGTATACAGCAAAATCTACTGTTCAGCAACTCACAGCGACCTAATGATTATCCATGATTATCGTTTTGCAGTTGAACATCATTGCAAATATCATTGCGCAGGCCAAGCAATTCTCGGCACAACATTGTCTCTTTATGAGCCCTCAGATCAGCCACAAATAGTGAAAAAGCAAATGTCAACCGAAGAGGTAGTTTTTTCAGAAACTGAAATAGGACACATGCTTAGAGGATTTGAACGCACATCACAAGTACCAATGACATGGGGCCCTGCCTGCAAGCAAAGCGGCTATTCAGAATCAAGAGCGAGAGAGAGAGAGAGAGATAGAGAGAGAGACAGATATGCAGGGCAGAAAAAAGTAGCCTTAAACAAATGCAGCAGTTTTTTGACAGTTAATCCCAAGTCAAAATTCAAGGAACCGTCATTGCACTGGTCAAATTCTCTTATAAAACAACCTGTTGATATTGATGTTTACTATGATACCAAAACAAAGAATAGGATACAAACCAAAAAAAATATTTTGTAGAGATGGATCCTGTCACAGCATATGGCATAGCATTACTCCCAAGTGGTCAGTAGTCATTCAGGAGAAAACACAACATGACACAGTGAGAATGTCCCGGCATCAAAATACTTGACCCCATGAATCACACACAGAAACCGAGACAGGTTAATTTGAAGAAAAAAGTGAAGCTCCTGCTGAGGAAAAATCACTTTAGCAAGCATAGAGTCTGTTGTTCTCCCCTGGCCAAGGTCCAGAACACCCACAATGTTGACCATATCTTAAAAGACCTTGGCAAAATAGTTGATTAGTCCAACTTGTTAGTTGTCATGCATCACAAATTATTGTGAACTATGAGTACTGAATACCAAGATGTTTGTTTTCCATGCCAGCCATTGTTAAGCAGCAGCATCAGATACCCAAATGAATGTCGGATGTTCCAACATCCAAAATCTTGCCTTTCAATGTTTTTGATCCTTAGCCTGCGTTGGTTTGCGAAGTGTTTGTCTGTGTGTTCCTTTATGGGCCTGGCGATGGCCTTGCCCTTGGTGTTCTTGGTCAGACGGGCATGACTTGACACTCTAACAAAACAAGGAATGAACTCACATAATAAAAATTCAACATATTGGCTTGAGGCAAATGACCTTTCAATACAAATTATGGGACGCCTTTCAACCTGTATATAGTGACGGACAATCACTTAGAACGTATTTTGGAAAAAAAAATCTGAATATTACTGTTTTTTTTACGTTCTAAGCCTTGCACTTAGAACGTCGAAAACCATACACTTAGAACGTCCAAATATCAAGATTCATCACTTAGAACGTACCGGGGATTTAACACTTAGAACGTGTCTAGGTCACTGATGATAGTGGAAAGGCTTGTGAAATCTTTTATCTCTAAGTGTTGGATCCAGCAGCTAATTCCGTAGGAAGCATAGACATAATTTCGTACCATTTGGCTTTTCCCTCCCATATGATGTGCAAATATTGGCGATCTTTTATCTCTGGAACACTATACCTTTTGGTGCTTTTTGGGGGTTCTGAGTTCTGATGTTCTAAGTGTTGGATTCAGCAGCTAATGCCGTAGGAAACATAGACATAATTTCGTACCATTTGGCTTTTCCCTCCCATATGATTTGCAAATATTGAATTGGCGATCTTTACCTCTTGAACACTATACCTTTTGGATCCTTTTGTTGCTTTTTGGGGGTTCTGTCGTTCTAAGTGTTGGATTCAGGAACTAATTCCGTAGGAAACATAGACATAATTTCGTACCATTTGGCTTTTCCCTCCCATATGATTTGCAAATATTGGCGATCTTTTATCTCTGGAACACTATACCTTTTGGATCCTTTTGGTGCTTTTTGGGGGTTCTGACGTTCTAAGTGTTGGATTCAGCAGCTAATTCCGTAGGAAACATAGACATAATTTCGTACCATTTGGCTTTTCCCTCCCATATGATTTGCAAATATTGGCGATCTTTTATCTCTGGAACACTCTACCTTTTGGATCCTTTTGGTGCTTTTTGGGGGTTCTGACGTTCTAAGTGTTGGATTCAGCAGCTAATTCCGTAGGAAACATAGACATAATTTCGTACCATTTGGCTTTTCCCTCCCATATGATTTGCAAATATTGAATTGGCGATCTTTACCTCTTGAACACTATACCTTTTGGTGCTTTTTGGTGGTTCTGACGTTCTAAGTGTTGGATTCAGCAGCTAATTCCGTAGGAAACATAGACATAATTTCGTACCATTTGGCTTTTCCCTCCTATATGATTTGCAAACATTGGCGATCTTTTATCTCTGAAACACTATACCTTTTGGTGCTTTTGGGGGTTCTGACGTTCTAAGTGTTGGATTCAGCAGCTAATTCCGTAGGAAACATAGACATAATTTCGTACCATTTGGCTTTTCCCTCCCATATGATTTGCCAATCTTGGCGGTCTTTAGCTCTTGGAACACTCTACCTTTTGGTGCTTCTTGGGGTTCTGACGTTCTAAGTGGTGGATTCAGCAGCTAATTCCGTAGGAAACATAGACATAATTTCGTACCATTTGGCTTTTCCCTCCTATATGATTTGACATTGGCGATCTTTTATCTCTGGAAACTCTACCTTTTGGATCCTTTTGGTGCTTTTTGGGGGTTCTGACGTTCTAAGTGTTGGATTCAGCAGCTAATTCCGTAGGAAACATAGACATAATTTCGTACCATTTGGCTTTTCCCTCCCATATGATTTGCAAATATTGAATTGGCGATCTTTTATCTCTGGAACACTATACCTTTTGGATCCTTTTGGTGCTTTTTGGGGGTTCTGACGTTCTAAGTGTTGGATTCAGCAGCTAATTCCGTAGGAAACATAGACATAATTTCGTACCATTTGGCTTTTCTGTCCCATATGTTTTGCAAATATTGGCGTTCTTTATCTCTTGAACACTATGCATTTTGGTGCTTTTTGGGGGTTCTGACGTTCTAAGTGTTGGATTCAGCAGCTAATTCCGTAGGAAACATAGACATAATTTCGTACCATTTGGCTTTTCCCTCCCATATGATTTGCAAATATTGGCGATCTTTTATCTCTGGAACACTATACCTTTTGGATCCTTTTGGTGCTTTTGGGGGTTCTGACGTTCTAAGTGTTGGATTCAGCAGCTAATTCCGTAGGAAACATAGACATAATTTCGTACCATTTGGCTTTTCCCTCCCATATGATTTGCAAATATTGAATTGGCGATCTTTACCTCTTGAACACTATACCTTTTGGTGCTTTTTGGGGGTTCTGACGTTCTAAGTGTTGGATTCAGCAGCTAATTCCGTAGGAAACATAGACATAATTTCGTACCATTTGGCTTTTCCCTCCTATATGATTTGCAAACATTGGCGATCTTTTATCTCTGAAACACTATACCTTTTGGTGCTTTTGGGGGTTCTGACGTTCTAAGTGTTGGATTCAGCAGCTAATTCCGTAGGAAACATAGACATAATTTCGTACCATTTGGCTTTTCCCTCCCATATGATTTGCAAATATTGGCGATCTTTTATCTCTGGAACACTATACCTTTTGGTGCTTTTTGGGGGGTCTGACATTCTAAGCCGTAAGAAACATAGACATAATTTCGTACCATTTGGCTTTTCCCTCCCATATGATGTGCAAATATTGGCGATCTTTTATCTCTGGAACAATATACCTTTTGGTGCTTTTTGGGGGTTCTGACGTTCTAAGTGTTGGATTCAGCAGCTAATTCCGTAGGAAACATAGACATAATTTCGTACCATTTGGCTTTTCCCTCCCATATGATTTGCAAATATTGAATTGGCGATCTTTACCTCTTGAACACTATACCTTTTGGTGCTTTTTGGTGGTTCTGACGTTCTAAGTGTTGGATTCAGCAGCTAATTCCGTAGGAAACATAGACATAATTTCGTACCATTTGGCTTTTCCCTCCTATATGATTTGCAAACATT